TCTTGTCGATCTTGCTAGCTCCCCCTGGAACTTCAAATCAAACTTCACTTGGACCTGTGACATTAAACTATATTCTTAAACAACTGTGTGACTGGTTGAAGGTCAGACCTCTCGAACTGTTGTGCAGGCTGCGGCTGCACTTCTTCACAGGTCAAGGCAAATGAACATAGAATGTTCCCCCAGCCATGAAACCCAGCAAAGGAAGCTGGTTTTGAATAGCCAAGTTGCCTCTAACAGCGACCCGTCGCCCCGGGAAATCTGATTCTGAGGAGGCTGCCACATCCTGCTTGTGGCGCTGGTTGTCCTGCCGGCTCTGGCCGCTTTGCCCACATCCAATGCGCCACTTTGTTGGACCCCAAAGCCATGCCATGAAATCTGATCCTAGCCTGTGCTTACAAACCCCGAATGAGCAGTGCCCCAAACCATTCACTCTTGGTTCTGCCAAAACGGATACAAAGGTTGGCATGATGCTTGCTATCGTACTATAACCCACGTGAAAACAGGCAGCAGAACCACCTTCTAAAATGGCCAGGAGCCGGGGGGGGGGGGGAGGGCGGACCCAAGTACCAACAGGTGGCCTATGAGACCTGTTGAATAGTTACTTGTTTACAATTCCAGGTTGCTGGGGTATTTAGCCAGAGTGGGTATCCTTTTGTGATGTTCAAGGCTCAAAGGGAAACAAGCCTTTTTGAGGGTCACCCTACTTTGAGACAACTGCAACTCTGTCGAACCCATTGATAAGCACTGATGTGCAAGTAGGCCGCCAAGCAACCCTCTTTGGCTTACACAACCAGGAAGCCACCATGCACCACGTCCATCGCTGCCCAGTTGCCTCCAACTACAATCAACATCTCCAGACTATTGTCCGTACATAGTGAACCCTACAAATTAACATGATGTCAAGCGAGATGCGCCCCAAACAAGCAGATGACGCTTGTCCAAATCCGCTGCACAGGCGTTCCGATTTTCCCTTGCCACAGGGCACCAGACCAAAGGATACCGGGAACACCAAGTTGAAACGCGGCTGCTGGATTTAAGAAGAGCCCGGCGGAGCAAGAGTCCTCCCAAAAGTGAAGGACGCCCTCGAAAATGGGACACCTCCCAACAAAAGATCCAGCAAGGTCTAATTCACTCGTGGCTCCCACCCGTCAAACAAATGACACCGACTCATCCTGGCTTGCTTCCCCTTTCCATTTTCCTGTTCAAAAATCTCAAAATTGTGTGGTGTTGCCATTTAACTCCTTCCAAGGTCCTACTGATTCAACCTCACATACCCCAAATGTACATAAGCCCAACTAAGGCCGGTTTTGGGTGAGAATGTACTGTGGATGGCCCTTAGCTCCAGCCTCTAGCCGCCTGGTTAAAAGTTATGTGATGCTTGGCACATTACTTGCGTATCAAAATGTGCGCGCGTGTTTGCAACCAAAATCCAGTTTGCTTCGCCCTACTTTGAGGAGCGCTCCTCCAACCGCTGCCGCTCCACCTTCCGCAGGTCGTCGCTGGTCTTGCCGATGTCCACGTCGTGGGCCGCGCTTTTCACCGTGAGGCTGTTAACCTGTTGGCGTGGTGGCGGAAAAGCACTATGTCTGTGATACCGGCGTGTTTGCTCCAAATACCCCGCCTTTAGATGGACAAAATGGCTTTCAAGATACTCCTTTTTAGTGAGGGGTTGACATCATACCCTATATAGAGGGCACATGGAGTAGAGGGTGGTTGGTTCCAAGGACTATCGCAAAAAGCCCCTCGAAAATTTCCATGGCTGTGTGTCCGTTTGATTGGCCTCCCTTAATTACTGTAGTTGATCAAATTCATGGGAACTCTGGTGCGTATACACCCCGCCTTTCAGTGATCCTGGTAGAAAAACAGGGAACCCCTGTTGAGTTCACCATGTTCAACGGGGAACCCACCAAACAAAAATGGATATTAAGGGTGGAGGACAAGCTTGCCCACACCCCTCTTGTGGGGACCTCTGAATGCTGTGGTGGGCGGGGGGTGTGTCCAAGGAACTATTCTAGGATTCGGAGCCAGACAATCCTGCCAGGTTCTACTTGAATCCGAGGTCAGCATTGAGGAATCATACACTTTGAGAACAAATACAACACGCAGAAGCCACTGCCGCTGCCTCGGCGAGATCGCGAGGAACATTACAGTTTGCCAGTGCAACACCGAAAAGGTACCCATATCTTTCCGCAAGCGTGTCACCTAACCTATGGCCAGCTCTCGCTCATACAACACACCAAAGGGGGAGCCACTCATATGGGTCGAAATTCTATGGTTTGTCCACCTCTAAAAACCATTCCTTTGAATATGCCCCCTCAATTGCACCATGTAGTATGCATCATAAAATCATGACTTAACGTCGGGGCAACTTGCCATTCCAAGCGATGGCCTGAGCGAAGTAGTTTCTGGGTCAAAAGAGCAGAGCCAGGGTGAATAATCCCTTCCCCCTTTTAATAAATAAACCCTATTAATAGACAGACACTTTTAATGATCCCTTTATTGTTGGGGGGAAGGGATCAAGTCAGGTTTTTTTCTCTTTGCCTAAGCTGAGAGCAGAAAGTCACTAAGACTTTAACACCCAAACTTGGACCGGATCCAAATGAAAATGACTCTGTAGCCACAAATGTGTGGACGAGATTCTGGTGGTCGTGTGGGGCGTGGGCGCACCAGGGAGAATCGAACCCTTTGCGGGGGCGGGTGGCGTGGGAGCCTTGAAAAATGGTCTGCCTCAGGAAAATAATGGGTCGATAGTAAGACTAATACTGTCTCATGCCAAGGGTCGGCTTGTCCAAGGTCTCCTCAAACTGGCAATGGTTGCCTACTTTCCCTTTGTGGGCGTCAGCCAGGTGCACTCAACTAATGCGTAGCATTCCAAACAGAAACAAATGACGCCAGCCCGCTCGAGCTCGCACCGTGGGGTTATGTTGACTCCGAATCACGCACAAACACACACACACACACACAAACAAAAAACATACAAACAAACCCACACACACACACGCACACACACACACACACACACACACACACACACACACACACACGCACACACACACAATCATACACACAGCACACAAACACATAAAAACAATACACAAACACGCAAACACACACAATCACACACAACACACAAAAACACAAAACAATACACACACACACACAAACAAGCAGACACACACACAAACACAAACACCAAACACGCACACAAAACACAAACACAAACGCAAACACACAAACAAGCACACGCAAACACACACACACACAACACGCAAACACAAGCACACAGACAAAAACAGACAACAACATATACACACAAACAAACACACACACACACACAAACACACCGACACACACACACAATCAAGCAAGCAAGCAAGCAAGCAAGCAAGCAAGCAAGCAAGCAAGCAAGCAAGCAAGCAAGCAAGCAAACAAACAAACAAACAAACAAACAAACAAACAGCACACACAAACACACCAACACACAAGCACAAACACTCAAACAAGCAAACAAACAAACAGACACGCACACACACAAACACACCAACACAAAAGCACAAACACTCAAACAAACAATCAAAAAAACACGCACACACACACACACAGACACAAACACACCAACACAAAAGCACATGCACTCAAACAAACACACTCAAACAACCACACACACACACCAACACGCAAGCACAAACACTCAAACAAACACACTCAAACAAACACACTCAAACAAACACACACACACACACAAACACACACACACACACTCACACACACACACACAAACACACAAACACACAAACACACAAACACACAAACACACACACACACACACATGATGAGCAATCTGCGCCTCATCCCGCAACTTGCCGATGTCGCGCTTAGACTCTCCGCTGGCGCCTACGCGAGTGACACAAACACATGTATATATATATATATACATATATGTATACGCACTGCTGAACAAGTGACACATACAACACAATAGTAGTGAATGCGAAGCTGGCAGGATTCAAAGGATATAGAACCCTGATAGGTGGGCAGGCCCCTTCGCCAAAATGTGGACTCTCAAGCTTGGGGTGCTTGCTTTCCTTTGTTTCCCATTGGTTTCCCTGTCAACCCAGAAAGACTATCCTGCAAAATGTGCTTTAACTAGAAGGAAAACCAAACAGGCAAAGAGTAAGAACCAGAAACAAGCAAGCCTTTCCTTTCGGTCTGGCAATGGTAGAGGGAACTCGGAAGCACAACATCAGCAAGTGGGCTGGTGTCCTTTTGGGTGTCTTTCCCAAAAAGGCTATCCCCACACAGAACCGCACTCATGGACCTCGAATTGGGGCTATAGGAGGGGCCATCCCTGGAAAAGGATACGCTGTTGGTAGGGCCTTAAGGCTGTTTTGGAGGCTTCAACAGGAGAGATTGGCCCCTCCAGCCCTGTCCGATTCCCAGTCGGGCGTCGATTCGCCTTGTAGGCCCGCGATGCGTAGGTCCAGCGCGTTCAAACGCTTGGCGGTCTCCTGGTCAGGCCACCCTCTTCCCAGCAGGCCATCCGCATATACGGGGCCACAAGAGTGGGCCCAAATATAGAATTGGATTGCCAAATATGGGGAATGCCCTTGTGGGGGATGAACATAAATTGCCAGAAAACCAGCTTTTTTGTTGTTGGGGCAGTTCACATTATTTTGGAGCCTATCCGAATAGCGATATGGGAATTGATAAGACAAAAATTAAGCATGATCATAACAGGAACATGTCAGTAATTACAGTAAGCGCCCCTCATATTAGGAAACCAGCGGATTCATCCGACATCCAACCTCAAGGTGAATGACACTGCCCCAGGTATAAAGCAAGCAGCAAGCGGTAGCCAAGTAAACCAAAAAACGTAAACATTCAGCTGTACTCTTTGTCGCTGAGGAAGGCAAAGGCCCGCTGGCCTTACCGGAAAAGGCTGGCGCGCATTCTTGCTTCAGTTTCAATGAAGGACACACCAGAAAGGGGTTGGCTGAATTCCCGGGTAGCGGTGCCAACTTCCAACCATCCCAAAGCACTCACTTTCGGAGTGAGTTGGCCAAACCAGTGCCACAAATTCTCTTTTCAAGCAGTACGAAGCCTTGGAATTGAGGACGTGAGCAATGTCAAGCCATTACAACAAGAGACTCTGGATCCACAGGCGAGCCCCCCCTGTTGTTGGCTGACATCTACAAAAACATGGTGTGTCAGCAGTCGGTACTTGATTTCTGCAGCCTATCAACTCCTATTCGAACACGGAACAGAAAGGCGGACGCATCAATGCACAACTGGTATCGCATCTAACAAACGAGTTTCATTAAAGGGACACATCCACGGCAGCAACATTGTTCTTGGGATACAAACAAACATGCCCGATGCACAACACTTCAGGCCTTTGATTCTGGACTGCTTGCAAAAATGGCGTTGACAGGACATGACATGTGCCAGCCGCGCAAAAGCGAAGGGTGTCGCAAGGACCTCCATTTCCAACAGCATGCTGCTGTTTTGCATTCCTGTCTGGGATTGGTTTGAGATCTGTGACAGCAGTGGTTCTAGTTGTTCTTCGACGTTTCGCATTCTGTCGGTGCTTTGCTGCGGCCGAGGTTTACCATTCAAGCATTCACAAACACACCTACGTATGCGTTGTTTTCTTTGTGGTAGAATAGGTCACGAAACAGTTGAACACCAGGTTTTGACAATGTCCTTGGAGGGGACACAAACACCATCTGGACCCTGTCAATGATATTCAACCAGCTTCTACCAAAACAATCCATTCCACTTGGGTGACACCTTGCTGCTTGGCACTGTTAGCTGCTGAAACTGATCAAGCCAAACTACGGCCAGGCCGTACAAAGGGTCTTGCCAAAACGAGAAACATCATGCAACGACCCTGCTGGAAGGGTAGAACATGGTGCTATATATTATGAGACGCCAACGGAAACCGACCCAAGTTCCTTTCATCCTTTGATGGCTCGGAGCTACCTTTCAACCCGAGCCTTGGAAATGTTGGAATGGTGACGCTCCACGCCGTCGATGCGGTCATTCACCTCTTTGTGCAGGTCCTCGTCCTGTACAAGCGGACACCCTGCTGGATGCAATGGACATGTTGCAAGCAGACCAAACGAAAACCACTGCAAACAGAAACCAACCCAAAACACTGGACAACAACAGGTTTTCCCCTGTCCGTTCGAGTGTAAACCAACCAAAACAACTTGGAGACAACTTGGATAATTACATCATGGCGCTTCTTCGCGCAAGTAAGCATGGGAAACTACAGGATTCGCCTTGTTCCCTAGCTGCAATATTGAAGAAATTCACCATAGTACTCATAGTACGATGAGACTTGAGGAATATACTGGTCTGAACTGGTCGTTTTCCTCTTCGCTTCCCTTAACATACCAACCAAAAGGGGGTCCACCATTTTGAGAAACGCTCATATCTTACGCATGTTTTTTTTGCGCTTGGGCATTGGGCGAGCTCTAAGAATGTGGGAAGCTGAGGTGTGGGCATTGTGGGGTCTCAACAAATGAGTCTTAAAATGACAAAACCCAAGTGGGTTGCTTCCCTTTGATTTCCTTTCAAACCACCATAGAATCAAACACTAGCAGGATATTAAGCAGGCAGTTGGCCAAATACCCTCTACCAGTTGCTTCGGCTAACTTGGCTGATCTCTGAGAAAGTCGCACCGCATCCATTTAGCTTCGAGACTTCGCCAACCTTGGCCGACAAGTCCTCGAGTAGCTGTAGCGCTAAGTGGCTAGCTATGTGTGGAGATCCATCCCCCGCGGCGTTTCTTGGAGGAAATTGAAGCATTTACCTCCCAGCGGCACACCAAGCGGCTGCACTTCGATGCTTGATGGTGGCAGGGTATGGGCCAGAGCGGAGGATGGTGCAGGGACCTCTTGGTGTAATTTGTAAAGGCTTGAGAAGGGAAGCACAATTTGTCGGTCTGCTTGTCCACTTGCCTCCATCGAGCACCCACCCAGCCTGCTTCATCAACGTGGTCTCCACATAACCTCGGCGCAACTTGCTCAGCAGGGGATGGCGGAATGACCCCTACGAGCCATCCCCTTTTAGTTTCCTTCAAACCTCTTTTGATTCCCGGCAGACCAGCAAGACGATGGACTTCTGCCAGATGTATGTTAGGGTCTGAAAGAGCTTCATCTGGTCATTGCAAATGAGGCGCAACAGTGAAATATGCCTAGCCTGGATGCCAACAAAGGTCAGGAAAACGACAAATCATCAACCCCTGTGCGAAATTGTGCGAATCCTGTTGGGAGCGAGACATACGGGATACTTAGCAAACGAGTATTGGTCCATAGCTGACATAATCTTCACAGCCTTAAACGGGGCTTCACACATATTTGGCAAGACGGTATGCTTTGAAAAGTCAATCTTGTATCTGTTGGTGAAATGGGGGCATAATTTGCATATTCACGAATAACCAGATTGTGGTCCTGTGGTGGGTGCACATCCGTGTGTGGCTCTTCCACTGGCAACATCATGTACATGCTCGGCTTTCACCATTCCAGGGCACAAAGCCTCATCGTGAAGACCTGTGCACTGTCGGACACATGGTTTCTCTCGTAGGGGCATCAGACTCACAAACACTCCTGGTGCCAAAGGAGTCTAGCCAAAAGCATGCTAGCTTTGTCAAAAGGGTAGCCATCGATCTGGTTGCGCGTTTGAAGTGTTGTCGCCCATCTGGGCGTGGCTCAAAATTAAAGAGCTAGGTCAAACCGCGGTCTTTGGTTCCCTTTACCAAGGTGCCATTATGGCTACCCTTGTTTTGAGCCACAGCCATCTGATGGTCTCAAAGCTTCAAGGCAACGGCTGATGCGACTCTCCAACTCCTCCTTGTGATTGTCAACCTGCCAGCGGCTGAGGCAAACACGTTGTGTCTGAGGGATGCCAAGTGTCGCGAGTCGCGGCTCATTGCAAAGCTGAACCACCAACTTCGCTTCCCGTTGGAAGTCTCCTGGTCTGGTCCAATGCTCGGCAACAGGTCTGGTCCAATGCTCAAGCTGGCCCTCCTGAGGATTGTATGCACCTATACTGAGTATTCAGGAGCCATGCTTCTGCGAGCAAAGAAGCACATGCGACCGCCGAGACTAGCTCATCTGCATGATTGTTGCAGCAAACACAAAATCAAGCGCCATTCTGGGTGAGTTGAAACTAGAACGAACCAACAAAGAAACCTAATTACATCAATGGTCCCGGGGTCGCAAACCCAACCTCTGATGAGTCCGCCATAATCTGCGGCCGAAGCCACACGCAACGACCACTGACACGGCCTTCGCATGCATGTTGGCGTGCGCGTCCGCGTGGCGATCTCGGTATGCCCAGGCGCGGCTCTACACATGCTAAACCCCACATCTCTGGCGTTCCTTTTTTGCGGGCTCACAATAAGGTGGACAATACAAGGCACAGCTGTTTGGTGTGCACGTGGAAACCGTATCTTCACAGAGTCCACTTGTAGAAGCAATTTGCTAAACCATGTTTTCGGGTAAGCCTAGAAGAAGGAGGCACAAACAAGGCGCCAGCAGCTTGTTTGCCACCTGTTCATGGAGTGTGTAGGTCAGCACATTGGTGGCAACCTGACCGTCGTCCTACGGTGATCAAGGGTACCCTATGTCCCCCTTTGGCGTCTTAGAGGAAGCTCATCTGAAAATAGCGTTGAGACAGAGCCAAGATAATTCTAGTCAATAACCAACTGAAGGAGAATGGTAAACGTTCATTAGGTTGGATCCAACTTCAATTGATGGGGGAACATCCCCCTCGGCAATATTTGTCGTCGATACGTGTATGCATCCGGGATCCACATTCATAACTTAATCACCAAAAGAAGGACCCAACTTGATGTTCAAGCAACACGTATGCTCGGATGCTGGCCCGGCCGAACAACAGCACCCAAGTGCGGAAGAAACAAATCGTGCAAAGAATCTCTTTGAAGACTTCAGCCTCCATGTTCTGGCTCGTCTGCAATGCAACGATAGCGCCTCACCGAGAAACCCACTGGATCTCCCTTCTACACAAATAAACTGCCTGCAGTTGAGGTTGATCCACAATGATCCACAAGCTTGGCCGTCAGCCTTGGGAGCACAAAGCTACGAACTGCAAAGAGGCCTCGAAACAAGAACCAACTCGAACCCTGTTGCCAGTTGCCCTGTGACCCTGATAGACAAAGGACACCTTCTTGAGGTTTTCTTCTCTTTGAAAAGGAAGTCATATGGGCTAAGACCCCCACAAAATAAATAGCAGCAAAGGGTCCAACTTTTGATCACTTGCCCAGTGCTTCCAGTTACCACTGTAGGTTACCAGGGTTTCACTCCACGATCATGTTTGCCCCTGGTCATCTATGGTCCTATCTGGAAGCACTAGGTTCCTGAGTCTATTGCCTGCTTCAAAACGTCAGGACTGTTCTTTGTCACTAAAAGGGCCGTCCCAAAAGTATATGGACCTCGGGGCGTGAGCTACTTCTAGACTCTTCTGCAACCAAGCATGGGGCCTGAAAGGGAAAGCCCGGCAACTTGTGGAAAGCCACCCTTTCTGGGACAGCAATGATTCCCATGGCTACTCTCGCACTTAGGGATCGGCGTCCCTTTGTATCACAGAAAGTGGCTGTAACACTTTGTTTGGGTCAAAATAGGGAGACCCCCAAAGAAAACTGGGTCCCTTTCCCTGAAAAAGGGTACCTCCCCCCGGCCCTTTAAAAGAACAAAAAACAAAAAGCAAAAACACACACACACACACGCACACACACACACACACTATTTTCACAGCCACGCCCAGCCAGCCCGACAGCCGCTCAGTGCCAAAGGGAGCGGCTCAGTGTGGCTTCCAGGTCACGGCAGTGCTGCATTCGCTCCTCACAAGACAAGGCCAGACCGAGTGAACTTCCTGGGAAAAAGAAGAACCGTCCAGCGGATGTTCAGTGCACTGCGTCTGGTTTCGCGGCAAACAACGGCAATCGTCTTTGCTAGCTGAATTTGAAGTGACCCTCCCCAGGCGGCTTGCATTCAAGTCCTGTGTTTCTATTTGTTTCTGATGTACATCAGAGCCGCAAAGCATCTACTACCCAATGTTGTCCCCATTCCCGATTTGCCGCTCAAGCGCACATGTGCATTGGCTTAAACCGCTCCAAACAGCATTCCTGACTGCACGCAAGACTGTGCTTCAGACTCCTGCGACATTGCCAAATAGCGAACTGGTAGCCAGATTTGTAAGAGTGCAAAACGCGTTGAGAATGGAGTCCAGGCTTGAAGGGCAATCTGCAGCTAAGTCTCACTGACTGACAAACATTCGCAACCTCACGTCTAAGTTGAACCGTTCTGATCTCTAAGCTGCCGGTGGCAAATTCCAGAGGTTCCATTTTTGCGTGAGACACCGGGTTGCTCCAAATCGAAACACATCTCCTCGAGCCGCTGATTCACCGCCTGACACAAAAGCTGGAGGAAGACTACACTTCCTACTGGGTGCCTTAAAGTGAACATATTGAGGGTGCTACAATTATATAGGTTGCTCTTGAATACACACTTGGAGGGAAACTTTGAGGATGTCCCTTTAATGGACTTGGTACGAACATGTACTAAAATGGCACATGCTGGAGGATACCTGAAAGATCGATTCCTTCTTGAAAGAACCAATTGTAAGCACACTCATCTGGGCCAATGGAAACATGAAGAAAGCTTGTACAAAAGCGAACAATTTGCGATCTCAACGGAACACACTCGCCAACACATAATCAAATCCACACAAACCAAGAACTTCAACCGCCCAAATTGGTGTGTCTGAAAATTGGCAACCTCGAACATGTTGGGGTTTCTCAGGGTTCCCTTTTCAGCCAACCAAAAAGGGGTTCCCGAGTTGTTGTAAATACCAAGTAGACCAGCTGCAAGTAGACCAGCTGCAAGCCAATGATAAGGGTCAGAATGCAGCTGACTAAGCGCCAACAGTCCAATGTTCAGCTTGTCTGCAAGCAACCAAGCCACATGTTATGACGCTCAGGAATCAACACAGACTTCCTCCACGCCGAAAACGTGCCGGATTATACAGGATAAACCATCAATAATGACCCAGACCTCCAGTGGTCTTGCGGGAAAAGGGCACCTTTGTTGGGTAGTTGGTTTAAAGGGACACCCCGTCAAAAACAAAAAAGAAAAACTGAGCACCACCCGGATGTCTGGGAGAACACATTGGGGACGTCAAGTGGTTTCGGGGAGCGACAAGCGAACCTCATCACAGTGCACTGTCTACGTTGTTGTGACAGAAAGACCCTTTGCAAAACCAAAAGAAAGAGAGTCATCTGGAGAAATGAGGTGCGTAATCCAAACCGCTACATCACATTTATACAAGGGCTACACACACACACACGACTTTGTTGTCGTTTCGAACTGGGAGATGGAATCCTTACTTCCAGGATTGGCAAAAAAGTGTGCCTGCCATCAAAACGGTCTTCCCAAAAAGAGTACAGTCCTTGAACTCGAGGAATCCTGGCCTGCATGGAATCCTGCGCGGAAGTCTGGATATTGGCGACGTGGCTGTCTACCTGGCGCGACCATCGGTTGGCAGAAGAAGTCGCTTTGCAGAGACCGAAGGGACCGTGGAAACAGAAGATTTGAAGGTTTCAATATGGTGGATCCTAGAAATTGCAACCAACCCAAAAATTGTGGACCCCCCATATTGTTTCACTATGGCGGACCCCAGAAAGTTTAACCAACTCAAGGGAACCCTCCAAGAACACGCCCCAGATGCCGTTGCATCTTGTGGTTGGAAAACACCCCAAAAATACTTCTGTTTGCATAAATACCCATGTCCATGATAGCGAGGAAACACCCAGGATGGGTTCTTAGAAGGGGTCAGAGAACCTTTCTGCGGGGTAAGGGGCGAGCGACCTGAGAGCAAACAAAAGCTTGAGCTCCGAGGTAGATGAGCCGGCGAGACCTGCCCCCTGACGCCTCAACGCCTGAGCTGTCCAGTTGTTCACGCTATGCTCGCTCTGTGGTAAAATGGGTAACCCTGGTGCTCATTTGCTCGTCCCCCCCAAAAATCAGACAGCTGGTTTCTCAACTGAATATCCTCTAGAAACAGTCAGCCCTTCGCAGCAGGGGCAAACAAGCGAAGAAGAGTATGACAAGGTGTGGCGACACAATATGCGCAATAGTTACAACTCACGAAGTGGAATCGCCTGATCCCCTAGAACAAGACCGGCTGGGGAATTCTGGGGAGCAAGCGTGCTATACGCTCGTCTGTAAAGATATAAGCCGGCCCCCAATGGCAGCAAAGGTCCTACCGATCCTGCAAACAGCCTTAGGCCCCATTCTGGCGACATTAGCCAAGGGTTGGGACTTGGGAGGCTGTTTTTGGGTGCCCTCGACCATACCTAAGAACTCCAAGTACTCCATATATATATATATATATGATGTTTTGGATTTGCTAAAGGGACAAATCCATCACAAATAACTCCGAACTGGCAAATGTGAGGCACTAAAGTAGATTGTTCCAAGCGAGCCACAGGCCGATCACCTTGATGGGAAAGCCATGTCTCTCCAAAACATCTGTCGGGGCCACACCAAAGAAGGGCCACGATGGGTCAAAATCCCGTACCGCCAGTGAACATCCCAATCCCCACTAAAATAGACAAAAATGGGTGGTGAACCTACCCCAAAATGGTACCATTGGTGGTTTTGACCCACAGCACTCGCCTTATCGTCCAATCTCTTCACGTCTTCTCGCAGACCGCCGAGCGCCTGCCAGCGTCAGAGCCAAGGTGTGCCGTGTTGTCACTCTTGGACCAACCCCCAGCGGCCATGGGAAAAGGAGGCGCTTTTTTGGTTGGTAGCTGATGCTGAAGGGAAACTGTTCAACAAAGGGCCCCACTGAAGGTATGGGTAGGACATATGCAATATTCGCATACCAATTAACAGAAGGGACCCAAAAAAGTTGCGTCCCCCAAAAGATGATTCCTCTAAAAGGGTGTCTGTTAGCTTTTCGGGTCCCATTTTGATCTGCAGAACCTAAGGGGCCCCGTTTAGAGAGGAATTATACACTCGTGAAGGAAGGGGATCTCTAGCCTTTCCAACTATAGGCAAAAATCGGAACACATCCACATTCGGAATAAGACCGCGCATGGTGGAATCGTGGGTCGCATGTTGGAATAAGACCGGCACAGGGGTAGAAACTTGGTTGGTAAAACAACAAGAACCAATGTCCTAACCGCGTCAGTTGGTTATTGTGTTGAGGTTCAGCATGTGCACAATGTTCTCGGCAGCCTGCCCAAACCCTAGGAGCCAATGGCCTACCGGAGAGGTGGCTTCATGTGCGGAAGACTGCACGTGTATTTCATACAAGCGCCCGGACATCTTCCTGGTTGCAGTACCCTGGTTGTGTGTTGACAGCGGCCAACCGCTCTCTTATCCAAAAGCAGATTCATTCCTGGCAAACATGCCTTGCAACCAATGCATGATTAGATATGTAATTCTTATGTTGAATCACAAAATGCAACTCCATGGATGAATACGGCTGTGGACTGCAGCAATGCTGCGTTGCAACACCTGGCCAATGCATGAAGGACACGAACTGCGAGCCATGCATGCGCACACACACACACACGCACAAACACCAACCCCAGACACACACCCACATACACACCAAATCCAAGTTCGTTTGTCAACTGACTTGCAGTCTTGGAAGCCATGCAGGAGTGAAGCCCGTTCCCACATAACGTCTCCCAATTCCCTTCCCGAATCTACTGCGTGGCAAAGACTCAAACAAGGGTGTTTTACATTATCCAAGTGAATATTACCGCACCAAAAAACGCAACAATGCTGGTGTTGCCTTGGATTGGTGGACAGGGACATGCTTCAAGTTGCCAGATTGTATCATTCCAGAAGCCCTGTCAAAGCCGCCGCAACACATTTTTCGCGCGTTCACGTGCGGTCACGGAGCATCTCCTCCACGGCTCTGTTCAAATCCCCCTCAGAACGCTGCGCTGCCTGCAGACTCGTCTCGTCGTCGAAGCCCATGCACCGTAATGTGGCAGCCAATTGTTCTTGCCGAGCTTGTTCCTCAGCCTCCTCATCATCAACGCGTGCACGTGCCTGGGCGAAAACGCTTTACGGACAAATACCCGTGACATAAATATTGTGCCTGAAGTGGCGAAAGTGCACGTACGACAAGCAGGCAGAAGCTAAGAAAGCAACTTCTCAACCAACCAGTCATTTTGCTTTGGGGCTGAATTCTTTGCGTGCCCAATTGAGTTTCCCGTGCGCATTGTGGCATTCAAGATTGCCTGAAGGGCTCCTGGATTCTTGTCATGCCAGAATGGCTGCGAAGCTACATGAATTTGAAGCGGCGCTTGTCCATGCACAGTTCCACAGTTCTTGCATGTTTGTGTCTGTCTGTGTGTGTGTGTGTCGATTGTATTTATGTATTTATTCATTCATTGTGTGTGCGTGTGTCTGTGTCCTTGCGTGTGTCTCTGTGTGTGTGTGTGTCTTTGTGTGTGTGTGTGTGTGTTTCCCTCTCTGTCTCTGTGTGTGTGTGTGGCTGTGTGTCGTTGGTGTCTGTGTGTCTGTGTTGTGTTGTGTGCGTATATTGTGCGTGGGTGTGCCTGTGTCTGTGTCTGTGCCTGTGTGTCTATGTGTCAAAGTCTCCATGTGTCTGGTTGTGTGTGTGTGTTTCCATGTCTGTGCTGGCGTGACTGCGTCCGGGCCTCCCCCTGTCTGCGCTGGGAGGCTGGGTTGTGATTCCCAGCTGCCTTCCAATTGCGGTGGAGAAAGATAGGATTGAGCATGATTCAACCACCGGATTCCGGCTTCCCAACAAACATAAGTGGCTGTGAGACAAGTAGCTGCAGCTAGTCTTCCAAAACCCCATCCACGGTTGTAAAACTGTGTTGAGTATGACTGGCCCTTTCAAAAGATCTGCGCTCACTACTCTGACTGACATGAAGTATAGGTAAGGGAGCTTCACAGGAAGCGATTCGGAGAAAAAGAAGATCAAAAATGAGCTCGCCACAAGTGCAGGGGAAACCTCATGTTTTGCTGCCAAGGAACAGGGTTGGCCAACATGTAAGGGGCCTGCTTTTTGGGCGCAAAAACCAAAAGGTAAAGTGGAGGTCAAGACACACATTTGGGGGTGGATAATGTGTGGATAGATTGGTAGGCGGCTTCCGCCACTTTTCATAGGGCTTCACTCTTCCCTACTAACCCGAAGTGGATTTAATCCCCCTCTTGCCTGACCCAAGGCACAGGGGCCAGGATGGGGCTGTTTGAGCCCTCGGCCAAGCCCGGCGGGGGTGAGTCGTCGAAGTCTTCGAGTGGCCCTGTCTCCACCTCGCCCTTCGCAACCGCAACCTTCTCCTTCGCCTAAGATCCCACGGAGGGTCCAAGTCAGTCAGTCAGTCAGTCAGTCAGTCAGTCAGTCAGTCAGTCAGTCAGTCAGTCAGTCAGTCAGTCAGTCAGTCAGTCAGTCAGTCAGTCAGTCAGTCAGTCAGTCTGTCAGTCAGTCAGTCAGTCAGTCAGTCAGTCAGTCAGTCCGCACTCAGTCAGTCCGCACTCAGTCAGTGTGAAGGCACCAATGTGACACCCTGCAGGCCAACCAAGGCTGCATATTTCCTGTTTTGGATTTGCTCAAAGGGATGTTCTCAAGCACCAGTTTCCATATCCGCAAATATGCGGTACTGGGATGGCTGGGCCTGCAAGCGCGGAAGTCAAAAGTTAAACGCTCCGTACATGATTTTCCTGGGAAAGAGGTGGGGAAGGACTGTCCAGTGATCTGATGGTTGATCCCTGGTGCTACATGGTTTTCCTTCGTCCAAGGGACCTTAGGAACTGCCACCCTTCCACACACGAAATAAGGGATGAGGATGATGGTGGTAAGGGTCCCGCCGATGGAATCCCGTTGAACGCGTTTTGGGAGGTCAGCCCGGCACCAATCTACTTCATGGAACATGGTATGTGCCTCCCATCTGCAGGATTGATTGCCAATGCTCTGAGCCGCAGCTCCCTTGCCCAACTTCCCCCAACAGAAAATATTGTTTAGAGTCTGCTCCATAATCTAGTGAAAGGTTAAACAAGACACATGATGCTAGGCTTCAGCAACCCATTTTGAAAACGAATGCAGCGGCATCTTGCATGCTACCCCTCGAAGCTAAAGTGACGTGAGGGCTCTTCTCACTCCCCAAAGAAGCAACCACCAAATTAAAGTGATGGTGTTGACTGTCCTGTTTGTTGCTGACCATTTGCAAGCCTCATGGTAACAAACTGTTTACAAAGGCATATATGTATACTCTTGCCATATGAAGGAATATGTTTAACATACAGCAACACATGAGCAGGAGTTTAGCTTTGAAATTGGAGCCTTTCATCCTAGAATGGTTCCCCCCCCCCCCCCATTTTTTTTTGCTCACTCTTGCATGGAGGAAGGGAGCCTGACGACTCAACTTGCGCCATGTGCCGAGCGTCCGTGTAGCCCGCTGCATAGACCGCGGGCTGTGGCTTCAACTCCAGGGTCAAGGCGGGACCCACCGGCTCATCACTGGGATGGCGGTAGAGGCATCCCTCGGGGCCAGGGCAAAGGGATTTGGCCAAACTGAAAAAGAGAAACAAACCCACTCCGAATTGTCTACCCAAAGGTGGGCAAGCCACTAAACCACCCTTGGTGATTTTGAGATTGGGAGCACCCCTGCCTCTGTGCGACAATTTCGGCCCCACTGGCAGTCGATCTTGGCATAGCGCTCCTTGATGGTCTGGCAGGAGGCCTCGTCGGGATGCTTGTCATGGCACTGTCGCCCGAAGGCGCACTTCCCCGCCACAAACGCGAAGCAAACCTTGTCCGACTTCTCGGGCGCGGCGTTTTTGACCGTCTTGGGCTTGGGCGGGTGCTTGAAAACACAATCCCGGCGCGTGCAGGCGGCGCCATAGCGACATTCAGGCACCTGAACTTTCGCTTTGCCCCTGCCCATGGCGTAGCACAGGCACAGGCGGGCTGCTCTGAACACAACTCGGGAGCTGTAGCCCAGACAGCCCCACAGCAACATGAAGCCAAGTGCCAAGCTGGTTGCCTGCATACATGTTGCCATGCGTCCCCAACTGCAACTCGGGAATCCGCGGGTAAAGGTCGACTTTAATGATACCCAATTTGAAGCTGTCACTGTACTTGCAGTGGAATCCAAAATGCCGCAAGCGAGAGCCTTGACAATTCCAGCCGAATGGCCCCTGCGTGTGCCCCGAGAAGCGGTGTCCGCTGGTACCTGATTAGCCAACCTTGGGATGATTAGAAGATGTTTCTGCAAAAAAAAACTGAAATTGGGGATGACCCCAGTAAACCAACTGGGTCGTTCACCGAAGGACCTGGAAATAAACACATTCTCCTTTTGGAGCCGCATGTATAAGTAGACCTCTTTGGGCAAGTGAGACTTCTTTATCTTCGGTTCCCATCACCATTACACTGCATTATCTCGGACAGCTGCACCTTAGGTTGTCCCACTTTGACCAATCACGCCATTAAACGATTCTTCCGAGATGGGCATGAAGCCGTCAGTTTAGGGACGCCAAGCAGGACCAACGGAAACACATCGAGTCCTGACAATCTGGAATGCCTGCCTGGCCTGGTGAGACTACCCACTGGGATATTGCCCCACTTGGGTCTGTTGCCCGCTCAAACCTTGCTGTGTGTGCGTTTGTGTCATCCCCCAGGAGTGCAATCCCAGGGAGACAGAAACCCTCCACCTCAGCACTTCGCAACTTCGAGCACCCTCTGCCTAAGACGAAAGTAGGTGACACAATTTCCAGTAGATGTGAGTGAGTACCAAAATGGGTTGCAATTCTGCAATTTACTTTGACCCTGCTGGGTGTCTTTCAAACTTGCGGACCCTCCTGGTGCCTGTTGGATTCCCGTTGCAACCGTCCAACAAGGGAACGGCTTTGACTTAAACACCCAAAAGTTGCTGCCGCATATTTTCCTTTGATAACTGGAACGCGGCCAACCCACACCCCACCCGCCCCCTCCCACCCCCACCCACTCACCCGGGCCCCCAAAAGGCGCCTCGTCCACCTTGCGGCGCCGGGAGTCCACCTCTAGGCGCAAAGCCGAGGCCATGTCGCGGACCTCAGCCCCGCACGTGAGGGAGCCCAAGGGTTGAACATGGATGCCTATATATATATATATATGTAGATGTGTATACATATGTGTATATATATATATACATGGCTCATATGTGAAATATGTGTTCATCGATGCATGTAACATAGGCACAGCGGTATACCTACGTTCGTGTGGTGTGTGTGTGTGTGTGTTCGATTTGTTCTTGTTCAACCTGAAACAAGGGCCGCTCTCTTCGTTCATTATGAACAAGGTCGCAAACATGTTTGGTGGGAGTTTACCGAACCAACACAAAACACAGACATAGACACACAAACACGCAAACACGCGAACACACCAACACACAAACACTCACACACAAACACACAGACTCGCAAACACGCAAACAACTGCCAACCCCCGCTGCCCCGCACATCGTCGTCGAGCGATTTGCTGGCGCAGGAAGCAAGCCGCTTCAAAGATGTCCTGCTGCTTCAGCACGAGGATGAATCTTCCGAGGACTAGCCACCGCGGTTCTCCGCGCGCGAATGCTGCAGCTGTCAACAGAAGCTTTCGAAAGCTGAGAAGCACCTTCTCGACCCCCATCTGTTGCTGAAGCCAAGGCCCCCTTTCTTTCTGGAAATGGTGTTGTGCCACTGCAGCCGCAAAATCCACCAAGCACTGGACGTCCAAGCAAGCAAAACCCATCCAGGATCGATCGCTCAACGATTGCGGTTGGGGGCTTCGAGCAAGGGGAAAGACTTCGCCGTCTCGCCCAAGAATGGTGTAAGGACTTGTCTCCTCACTGCCAGCGCCCGGTTTGACAAACATGGGCATGGATGATCGCAACATGTGAGACATGAACCATGTCTTCCAAGCTCTTCATAGGCTTTTGCAGCAGAAGCGAGTGACCTGTTGTGTCTCTTCTCAGCCACAAACGGCCATGTCACTTCGAACATGTTGGACCATCGCAGCGACTTAAGTCGTTCAGCCACTTCCAGGCAGCCTGCCCAAATGTCACCCCAGCCTGTGACAAGGCCTCCATGTGGGATTTGCGCTGCTCGCAGCAAATCTTTGCATACCTCCCGGAGCGCCGCAGCGCCGCGTCTTCCAACTCTGTAGCTTGTGCAAGGGAGCATCTTTGTGTTCGGCCTTTCTGCGGCGAAACATGCTCTGCCTGGTCCAAATCCTTTGGAGGAGTGTGGAAACCTGCTTCAGGTGGGCGGCGCAGTTGGCTGAGCAAGGGTTGCAGGGACGCTGTGGTCTCCATGGCCCCGGCCTTCTCAGACTTTAACATGTACATATTCGCTCATGCTGCAACGAGTCTTGGGGTCCACGCGTTCAATTCTGACGTTTCTTGGCACCTCATGGCGCCGCTCTCAAGGCTTGGCCTTGGGCTTTGCTTTCGGATTCTCCGACACGTTGGCTGACTTGACGCTCTGCACCATGCACGGAGCCAACGGCCCCATCGCCGTATACGCCGTAGCTGCCTCAGAAATCGCATCTTCAGCCATTGACGTTGACGCTGGAATGGCAGGAGCTGCAGGCTGCAGGTCGTGCTTTTTTGGGCAAAGAGACACCGAGACACAGAGACACACATACACATACACACACACAGCATACACACAAACAACTAGACCACGGTTGGCCCGAAAGCATAACATCGCAAGCGAGGTTGGCCCAACGCTGCAGGACGCGTTCTCTTTTTCCTGCAAGTTGCTCCCTGCAAGTGGCTCCCTGCAAGTTGCTCAGTGCAAATTGCTCCCTGCAAGTTGCTCTGTGCAAGCTGCTCTGTGCAAGTTTCTCTGTGCAAGTTGCTCTGCGTAAGTTGCTCTGCGCAAGTTGCTCTAGGCAAGGTGATCTGCGCAAACTGGTCTGTGAAAGTTGCTCTGCGCAAGCTGCTCTGCGCAAACTGGTCTGAGCAACTCCCTCTGCGCAAGTTGCTCTGCGCAAGTTGCTTTGTGCAATTGGCTCCGTGGGGGGAATCGAACCCGCGACCCGCCGGTCCCGGGAGCAGGCGCGCGAACCACGAGACAACTCCCGAGGACCAGTTCGAACAACAAAAGCCGCAAAAAACCTCGAGTTTTGCACCTCGACCACGCCGATCCCCGCAGAGGGCCGCGCGAGCACCGCAGAAATCGTAAGAAACCTCGAGTTTTTGCACCGCGACCACGCCGATCCCCGCAGAGGGTCGCGCGAGCACCGCAGAAATCTTAAAAAAAACAAGTTTTTGCTCCTCGACCACGCCGATCCCCGCAGAGGGCCGGCGCCGCAGAAATCGTAAAAAACTTTGCGTTTTTGCACCTCGACCACGCCGATCCCCGCAGAGGGTCGCGAGTGCAGGTTAAAAATCGCAAAAAAACAACAACGTGGTTTTGCACCCCGACCACGCCAATCCCCGCAGAGGGTCGATTTTCGTAGAGTGTCGTCGGCAGGCATTGCAAGGAGTCATTGCAAGGAGTCATTGTTGCAAGGAGTCATTGCAAGGAGTCATTGCAAGGAGTCATTGCAAGGAGTCATTGCAAGCAGTCATTGCAAGGAGTCATGAGAGTCATTGCAAGTTGCAAGGAGCCAAGTCATGGAGTCAAGTGCAAGTTGCAAGTGCAAGGAGTTAAGTGCAAGTTGCAAGTGCAAGGAGTCAAGTGCAAGTTGCAAGTGCATGGAGTCAAGTGCAAGTTGCAAGTGCATGGAGTCTCAAGTGCAAGTTGCAAGTGCAAGGAGCCAAGTGCAAGTTGCAAGTGCAAGGAGTCAAGTGCAATTGACTTGCGAGGAGGTAAAATCTCTTCTTAGGGCGGCGGGGAAGTGCCTTGCAATGACTCCTTGCAATGACTTTCATGATGATGATTCCTTGCAATGACACCTTGTAATGACTCTCATGAGAAAAACTCAAGTGAACCCAGCGGAAGAACCCTTCGCCATGCTTTCGGGAACAAACATGCCAGCAAAACAAACACCAGCAAAACTTTCCAGATTTCGATCCTGGCGTGTGGGCACAGCTGCTCCACGACAGCGGCAACTAGGTCTGCCTTTGACACGTTGCTGCCTGCGACCCGCTGGCGCACATCCAGCTGTCGGGCGAGCGCGCGAAGTTGGGGTTGGGCTTTGGCCGCCACCTCTGCTGCAGCCACGCTTTGCCATGCTGGGCCACGCCAGCCGGAAGCCTAGCTACTTCGAGCTCCATGACTTCTGCTTGAACCAACTCTCATCCGCAAGATGCCACATGACAACCAGCCGCGCCGTGCCTGTAAATATGCCCCTTGTCACCCAACGCCTCGACCACAGAAGCCAATGACAGAATGGAATCTCGTAGATGAACGCAAGCTCCCCGCAACTTCTTTCATGATGAGAACTCCTTGCGTCAAACTCCTAGAGGACGAGTGGCCTGAAAGCATAACTTGTTTAGCCCCGGCCTGGCACATACGCAAGTTGCTCTGCGCAAATTGCTTTGCGCAAGTTGCTGTGTGCAAGTTGCGGTGTGTGCAAGTTGCTCTGCGTAAGTTGCTCTGCGCAAGTTGCTCTGGGCAAGGTGCTCTGCGCAAACTGGTCGGTGCAAGTTGGTCTGCGCAAGTTGCACTGCGCAAGTGGTTTGTGCAAGTTGCTCTGCGCAAGTTGCTCCGCGCAAGTTGCTCCGTGCAAGTTGGTCCCTGCAAGTTGCTCCCTGCAAGTTGCGCAAGCTGCTCTGTGCAAGTTGCCCTGTGCAAGTTGCTCTGCGTAAGTTGCTCTGCGCAAGTTGCTCTAGGCAAGGCGCTCTGCGCAAACTAGTCGGTGCAAGTTGGTCTGCGCAAGTTGCTCTGCGCAAGTTGCTCTGTGCAACTTGCTCTGCGCAAGTTGCTCTGCCCAAGTTGCTTTATGCAAGTTGCTCCGTGCAGCTTGCGAAGCCCGCCCGCGGCGCCGATCCCCGCAGAGGGCCGCGCGGGCCAAAACAAAATCGCAAAAAACCTCGAGTTTTTGCACCTCGACCACGCCGATCCCCGCAGAGGGTCGCGCAGGCCAAAACAAAATCGCAAAAAAAACTCGAGTTTTTGCACCTCGACCACGCCGATCCCCGCAGAGGGTTGCGCGGGCCAAAACAAAATCGCAAAAAACCTCGAGCTTTTGCACCTCGATTACCCATGCCAATCCCTGCAGAGGGTCGATTTTCGTAGAGCGTCGTCGGCACTACCCCGCCGCCCTAAGAAGATATTTTAACTCCTCGCAAGTCAATTGCACTTGACTCCTTGCACTTGCAACTTGCACTTGACTCCATACACTTGCAACTTGCCCTTGACTCCATGCACTTGCAACTTGCACTTGACGCCTTGCACTTGCAACTTGCACTTAACTCCTTGCACTTGCAACTTGCACTTGACTCCATGCACTTGGCTCCTTGCAACTTGCAACGACTCTCATGACTCCTTGCAATGACCTTGCAATGGC